TGTAAAATTAAGCATGGAGAACGGAGGGAGCAAATGTTCACCCTTAGACTGTCTTACGAGAGAATCAATGTCACAAAGGAATTAACATGCTGAGGATGTTTTTAACTGTTGAAAAGAGAGAGGGTGCTCATGCCAAAAAACCGATCATGATACTGTAGTGTCACCAGTACATCCTTTAAAAATAATTTCGAAGCACTTATTGACGGGTGGTTTTGTTAATTTGACAGTGATGTTTTTCAGCTTTTGAAGGTGCTAGATTTCTGATCCTGAAAGCAACATAAGTGAGAAATAGAATTTTTTAGTGTTTCTTTTATATTTACAAAAATATTACCTTACTTTCTAAACAGCTACATACACACACGTGCAACATTTTTCATTTTTGGAGTCCTTGTTCTATGGAGATTTTAGGAATTCCAATGCATTTAATTTTTTTTTAATGGAGACTGAGGATTGAACCCAGGACCTCATGCTTGCTAAGCAAACACTCTACCACTGAACTATACCCTCCCCTCTCCCCATCATGTATTTATAATAGAATCTGTTTCTCGGGGAGCATTTTAGGAATACAGCAGGTGAAAACCTGCCTCCCTTACCCTTGCCCTGCCTTCCTGTCCCACCCCTTACCCCAGGGTCTTGGTTTCATCCTGCTCCTGCTTGAGTCATCGGCAGTCCCCCCGGTGCCATTTCCCTGATTGTCACATCCTTCACAAAACCCCTTTGTGCTCAGTACTAATATTACCCACTCCAAATGCAGAGACACAGAGAGGTTGACTAATTCACCCAAGGTCACACAGCTAGTGAGTGGGGAGCTGGACCAGGAGGGCTTGAGCAGCATGATGTGGCTGTGAGCTTACAATCTCCCCAGATGTTTGTATGTGTGTTGGGAAGGGGTTGGATTCCTTATAGATGTGCCCACTGCTGCTAGGGTTTGTGCACAGCATTTCCTGGGTCAGCTGGCAAAGAATCCGAGAGGATTCGTTGTTTGGGCTTTCGAATCAACTCCCACATGCAGGGACCCCCTCAATCTACAGTACGGTGGTCCCCCACCGGTGGTGTTTGTAGACCCAGTGAGCTGTTCCTCCACTGAAATGAAACTGTATTCTTTTCCAAGTGCCCCCACCCAGAAATTCGATTAATGGGGAGAATTTTGTCTTCTGCGAAGTTTTCACCCATAAATGCTTTTCTAAACCTTTGCTCCCAGCTGCTGCTGGTCAGCACTGGTATCTAACAGGACAGGCTTTTTAGGGTTGTGGCTTTGGACATATTTATAAACTCAGGAGTTTTAAGTTTATGAAATCTGTATTTTTCAAGGTGTTCATCAAAGAGCCTTATAGGTGAGCCTTCCCTTTGAGAATGAGTGCATGTAGAAACTTGATGAAGTGGATCAAATGTAATGTGTTTTTAATACGTAGTAATGTATTTAAACCTTAAAGATAGAGGTGGTGTAGAATGTGATCTGTGTGTTTTTCCCTGGGGAAAAAAAGCTTGTCAGTGATTTTCTGTATAGTATTCAGGTTTCTTTGACATGTTCATCCACGTGAATAGTGTTTAGTGTCTACTCTGTCCCGTGGCACTCTGTGGCTCTGGACAGATTTTGATCAAAGACATCTCTTACCATCAGGACTTTTAAAAGAGAGACCGTGATGAGCATAATCTGAGCAGAACAGCATGAAGGGGAGGGAGATGGATGGTCAGACAGAAACCCATGGGCTCCTACAGGGCAGGAGACATGTCCTGTCGGTCCCAGAATCACCTGCGCAGACCCTCCCTTCAAGCAGACCACAGATCATGTCCGGGGTCAGTTGGGAGCACAAAGCAGAGAGGCCTAACATTAAAATTTCTTATCAAAGTTTTGAATAAAATGACTATGATCATTGTCCTCTGCCGTAGGAGAAAGAGCACGGGCCAGACACAGGCGTGGTGGGAAGTATTCTGACACACTGTTCCTGGAATCCTCACAATAATCTTCTTGGTAGGAATCATGGTGCTCACTTTCCAACAAGTGGAACTAAAATGACGAGTGCTTTAGTGACTTGCTCGGGACCCCACAGTGAGCGGGTGGAGGTGCCAGGTCACATCTGCATCTCTTTTTGGCTCACGAACCTGTGTTCTTTCTGCAGAGCTTACATGGCTAGACCCCGTAGCCTCCGTGCTTCTAAGTTTTATCCAGCTGTCTCTCTTCAGAAGCACAAGACAACCACTCTTTTTATTTCTTTACATCAGACTGTAGAAATCTTTTCAGCCAAGAGCTCTTTACCACCTGTTTTGTATTAGCAAAACCTACATTAATTTACTAATTTTTTAAGTTGAAATATAGTCAGTTTACAATGTTGTGTCAAGTTCTGGTGTACAGCATAATAGTTCAGTCATACATATACGTGCATAATTTACTAATTTTTGAAAGGAGAGAAACAGAAAAGGTTCCTGTGGGCTGACTTCAAATTAAGAACAGGTTGGAGGTGAAACCCTACTCAGAAAAATCCATGAAATTGAAATACATAACTCAATTATGGTAAGGCTTTTAAAAAGGACAGGAGCATTTTTAAAATCTGCCAAAACTCTGGGTGGCAAATACTGAACTCCTGTACTGACACTGTTAATCTTTTCTTTAATGATAAAAACTAAAGACTTTAAAAAAAATTCTTAAGATGGTTTAGTATTATCATAGTTGACTGTGTTTACCACTAAATAGTTTGAAAGGGCATTCTGATTACTTATTTTTACAAAATGCTCATTGTAAAACAAAAATTCAAGCAGTATAATTTCTTTTTTGAAAAAAGAAGAAAGCAGTTACCCTAAATTTCACCATTACCATGGTGACCATTCTTTCAGATATCTCTGTAAAGAGGCCCAGTGGGTACAGTTTTTACAATTTTGGAATACTGTTCATGATGACATGCATGATGACATCCTAGAGATTTCACACACATGTCATGGGCAATAGTTTTTGAACTCTTCTTTCCACCCCTTATATTTTTATTTTTTTAATTGAACAGTCAATTACAGTGTGTCAATTTCTGGTGTACAGCACAGTGTCTCAGTCATACATATATACATGTATTCTCATATTCTTTTTCATTAAGTGTTATTACAGGATATTGAATATAGTTCCCTGTGCTGTACAGAAGAAACTTTAATCTATTTTTATATATAGTGGCTAACATTTACAAATCTCAAACTCCCAAATTTATCCCTTCCCACTCCCTTCCCCCTGGTAAGCATAAGACTGTTTACTGTGTCTGCGAATCTGTTTCTGTTTTGTAGATGAGTTCATGTTTTTTTTCTTTTAGGTTCCACATATAAGTGATATCAAGTGGTATTTTTCTTTCTCTTTCTGGCTTACTTCACTTAGAATGATGATCTCTAGGTCCATCCATGTCACTGCAAATAGCATTATTTTATTCTTTTTATGGCTGAGTAGTAGTCCATTCTATAAGTATACAACTTCTTTATCCAGTCATCTGTCGATGGACATTTAGGTTGTTTCCATGTCTTAGCTATTGTATACAGTGCTGCTGTGAACATGGGGGTGCATGTATCTTTTTGAGTTAAGGTTCCCTCTGGATATATGCCCAGGAGTAGGATTTCTGGATCATATGGTAAGCCTATTTTTAGCTTTTTGAGAACTCTCCATGCTGTTTTCCACAGTGGCTGCAACAAACTGCATTCCCACCAGCAGTGTAGGAAGGTTCACTTTTCTCCACACCCTCGCCAGTGTTTATTGTTCTTTGTGACTTTTGAATGATGGCCATTCTGACTGGTGTGAGGTGATACCTTATTGTAGTTTTGATTTGCATTTCTCTGATAACTAGTGATTATGAGCATTTTTTCGTGTGCCTGTTCATTGGAGAATTGCTTGTTTAGGTCTTTGCTCACTTTTGGATTGGGTTATTTGTTTTTTTCTGAGCTGCTAATATATTCTGGAAATTAAATCTCTATCCTTCGCATCATTTGCAGATATTTTCTCCCATTCTGTAGGTTGTCATTTTGTTTTGCTTATGGTTTCCTTTGTTAAAGCTTTTCAGTTTAATTAGGTCCCGTTTGTTAACTTTTGCTTTTATTTCTATTGCCTGGATAGACTGCCCTCGGAGAACATTACTAAGATTTATGGAAAAGAATGTTTTACCTATGTTTTCTTCTAGGAGGTTTATCATATCTTAAGTCTTTAAGCCATTTTAGGAAAACCTAACTTTCCTTTGGAAAGTGCAGTGGGACCCAGTTTATAGAGATCATCTTTTGAGAAGTGTCTCCATCTTGTGGCCTTTTAGAGTATGGTCATTAAAGACTAATAAATTCATGTTGTGTTTTTGCAACTCTCATTGGAAGTGGGGTCCTTGCTAGGGCTTGTCCAGTGGACTTGATGGAAACCAATATGGGGCCAAAGAATCTCCATCTTTCTGTAGAGCAGGAGCGAGCCCTTCTTTACACCACTGCTGTGGTGGGCAGTGTAGCTCGAGACATTTGCGTCTCATTGAGAGGCAAGAAAACCAGGACTAGAGCCCGACTCTCCCAGCTTCTAACACCAAGCTTTTGCCAGTTTCCTCTTTAATCTCAACTTTAACACTATTAAAGGGGCTAATCTTAGAGGCCAAGGGATGCTGCCTCAACCTCATAAAAATCATCATCAGGCCTTCTGAGGAAGACGGACCCCAGATGGAGTGTGGTTTTACTTTAAAGGAATTACAGAAAGGGCCAGTCACTTGTCCAGTCACCTTACACCATTATGTACAGTTTCTGACTTTACAGATCAGTTCAGAATGTTAGGAAAAGAGTATCTCTACAGATAAAGTTGAATTTTCTTATCTGTGTGTGCACGGTAGACCCATAACTGGTCTTCAGCAGTACAAATTTGGTCATTTTCTATAAATAGGGCATTAATAGTTGTATAAGTCTTTTATCACTTTTTATAAACACCACAGGCAGAAGAGTTATATTTTGCATCTGATCGAACACATTTTAACTAGATCTTTTTTCCCCTTTTTTCTTTCTCTCTGATGCAGTATATAGTGGAATGTCATGGGATCACCCTTCTTCCCCAGTTCCTGGGCATGTACCGGCTTAATGTTGATGGAGTTGAAATATATGTGATTGTTACAAGAAATGTGTTCAGCCACCGTTTATCTGTATATAGGAAATATGACTTAAAGGTGAGATTTTTTTTCATTTTCAATTTTATTAGGTAGCATTGTTAACAGTTTGCACATATACAGTGTATTGCATGTAAATACATATACACAATATACTGCACATTTTTTTTAAATTTACATATATGTACTGTTCATTGTTTCTAAGAACATTTAGATCTTTAGCTTTTTAAACTTACGTAGTTATCAAAGGAATAAAGCCAATGACTAAATAAGAATTCCAAAAGGTACATATACCCCGCTGTTAATGGCAACATTATTTATAATTGCCAAGATATGGAAGCACCCTAAGTGCACATCTATAGATGAATGGAAAAAGAAGATGCAGCATATATATGTAATGCAATACAACAAGGTGGGATTGATTTTTATTAGGTAATTGAGCTTGCTTGTCCACGTTGTAAATGTTGTAATTGATCGTGAACACTTGGGAGGCACTCAGGGCTTAAGCCACCAGGCAACCAGCAGTGCACTCCTTTGTGTTAAGCAGGGATCACTTGTACCTGTGAGAGTTCATGTCTAGTATGAACCGAACGTCAGTGTGCAAGGCACTGCTTTAGGTGCTGGGAATAGGGTGATCAACAAAACAGAACCTGCACTCAATGAGCTGACATTCTGTTGGGTAAAGAGAGGCGACAGATGATAAGTGCTAAGTACATCATGTATTGGGCAGTGACAGTGCCACGGACAGAAGTAAAGACAGGAAGGGTGGGGCCCGGAGGCAGGCTGTTTCAAAGACCTGGAGTGAGAGGTGACCACTGGAACTTCCGAGGGGGAGTGAGGTGATCTGACTTCTGGGATCATTGCCCTAGAGAGTGTCCAGGTTGGGAGCTGGCAAACTATGACCTGCCTGCATGGCAGATCCAACATGGCCATTTCTGCAAATAGCGTTAGTGGAATACCGCCAGTGCCCATGGCTTCTGTAGTGTGCGTGGTTGCAAAATGAAGGCCTAGTTGAGTAGTGACAGAGACCGTTCTGAGCCACAAAGCCTGAATCACTTACTCTCTGACCCTGTTAAGAAAAAGTCTGCCAACTTTTGGTCTCGGTCAGTGGATCTCAAGTTTTTTGATCTCGGACTCCTTCACATCCTTAAAAGAGGACACCCCCCCCAAAAAAAGCTTTTGCTTGCATAGTATATGTCTACTGATGTTTACAATGTTAGAAATTGAGAAATTGATAAAAACTTAGTAAAACCATGGCATGTTAGTATATTTTTATGAAAAATCACTACCTTCCAAATCAAAAAATTGAGTGGGACAGGTGGCACTGTTTTACAGCTCTGCGTATCTCTTTAATGTCTGGCTTAGTATGAGATACTTGGAGTGTCCAGGCTGGTTCTGCTGTCAGTCTGTTGCCGTGTTATTTGATTAGAGTGTATAAAGAAAATCAGACCTTACACAAATACGTTGTGGGAAAAGGGGAGGATGGATTTTTTTAAATAATTTTTTCAGAAATTTGTGGATATTTTTCTTTGATGTTACACCTAAACCTGACCAGTGGTGACTTCTCGAAGCGGAATTTCAGTGTGGAATCTGAAGTCACATTAGTGAACTTTTTGAAATCCACCGGTCTGTCTGCATGCCCCGGTCTGAATACATCAGGCTGTTGTCATTTGGAATGATGGCGTCACTGAGGTCATGCTCTTCCAAATGCTAACACATTTCATTAATCACGAAGCCACGTTACTATCACCACCAGTATCAGAAAAGTCTTTACATACTGAGAAGCTGTCAAGCTCAGGGTGGTGGGTACAAGTTTTAAGAATTTTTCATTTGTACTTGAAAGCTCACATTTTACCACTGGCCTGTCCAGGGCCTGCCGGCTGTTTGCTGGAAAGTCACAGCGCTCAGCCACACCAGCAGCTCTGCTCCTCTTTGACCGAATACCTGCCCGATGCCCAGATCTGAATAAGCAGATTCCCAGTTGTTCATTCATGTAAAAATGTTTCGTGAAAAAAGTGGCTAGCCCAGCTCATAACTCAAACATCACAAAAATGGCTGTTTTTAAACATACCTGCTTTAAATAGAATGCTTTGTGCATACTTCCCACACAGAATACGGAAAAGATGTGCACCAAGACGTAATAAAGCAACGTCACTGCTTTGGTGAGGACATTCATGTATTTGATGACAAACTACTTGTACCATTTTGTGCCACAGCTGGATTTGTGCTAAACTGCCAACAGTTTTTTGCCCACCTTTTGTTTTTAACAAGACAGTGAAAAAGGCAAATAGTGTTATTATAAAGAGTTTTGTGTTTACTGACCCCCTGAAAGGGTCTTGGGGCCCCTAAGTGCTGAACTACACCTTGAGAAATGCAAGTCTGTGGAAGGGGAAGCATCCAGAGTTCAGATGAACCACACCAGCTTCCCCAGTACAGCCTTGCTCTGTGCAGCCTCCCAGTCAAAGCTCTTTTTTCCCTGGAAACCCCAGCCCCCCACAGTGCTCTCTGGACCCATCTTGCTCATGAAGCACCTGCTTAGCTTCTGCTGCTGAGGACGGTGTAGGCCTGGCCCGTGGTCTGACTCACCCACATAAGAAGCCAGATGACTTCTGAAGCCACAGGTCCCGTGTTACCACCTGGCACCTGTGTGTGAGGTGCTGGACCTTTATGGGCCTCAGTTTCTTCAGCTGTAGAATAAATACGTCATCTTATCTACCTTGCTGGTTGTTGTGAGGACTGAGTGAGATCTGTGTGGGCACGTCCAGCGTCTCACCCAGCCTGTGGGTGGTGGCGAGTGAATGGTGGTTATCTCATCCATTCTATGCGAGTAAGTCCCTGAAAGGCAATTTTTTGTGTGTCCTACACACTTTTTTTTATCCTCCTAAAATGCTTAAGATGGTGTCTCGTTCAAGCAGGCATCTAGTGAACATCCTGATGTAAGTTATGCTTATAGATCAGATGTTATAGTTAAGTTAAAACTAACCTTGTAAAGTTAAATTTAAAACGAACCTTGGCCTTCACAATTTCATCTCCCTTTTCAGCCTGCAGAATAAACAAACTCTTTTCTTGCCAGTACATTTGGTTGTGGGGGAACCTGAACATCTGGCATCATTTCATGGCTCAAACGCTTGGCCTTGACTGAATTACCTTTTTCATTGTGTTTTAATTTTTAAAATTCTGAACAAATTTAAATCTGGATGAGGTTTTTCCAGGCTGATGATTTGCATTTACATAGAGAAGTTTCACTGAGAATCAGAAGCAGAGTAAATTATATTGTAGGGAGAACACACAACACACACACACACACACACACACAGACTAAAAAGTTGGTTAAATTTCCTTTGCTGTACACCAGAAATTGACACAACATTGTAACTGACTATACTTCAATTAAAAAAAGAATATATATACATATAACTGAATGACTATGCTGTACACCAGAAACTAACACAATACTGTAAATCAACTATACTTCAATTAAAAAAAAATGGTGGTCAAGTAGACAGATTGCTCCGCTGTCCTATGGTCCAGCACTAGAGGGCCCCAGGAGGCGCAGCAGACCGGGCTGTTCCTTCCCTGATCATTTATCAGCGACCGCTGGGTGCTGCTGTGTGGGACACTGTGATGGTCACCAGGGAGCACCAGGAACAAACACTCATTGTTGTATGAACAAAGTTGGGAACTCACTGGCTGTTTGTTTCCCAGTCTTTCTTTCGCATTAAGATCTTCCACAAAGGACTGTGTCTCTTCCTGCACGCCACCCCAGGCCCCCCCAGGGCATCTGAGGTGGACTCAGTCATTTTGGACACCACCAGAGCTGAGGGCAGAGTTTTGAAAACAAGTGCAGTAGAGTAGAAATTCTGAGACCAAGAACTGTGTTTTCTCCTACTTTATACCTCTGTGCTCAGCCTAGATTCTAGCACAAAATTGTACAAGTAAATGTGTGTTTAAAGGGCCCTCCGAAGGGAAGGGGGACAGAAAGTACCCAGTGGGTGGTTCTCATGGTGAGGAAGGCACATTCATCTAACCCTAAACCCGGGGAGAAGGGCCGTCGGGTCTAGGGCAGCCCCACCTGGAAGACGCAATGTGGGAAGGAGGCCTGCAGTGCCTTCGGGTCACTGCAGCCAGCTGATGGCCCACTGGACGTTGAAGACCCGCAGGCCAACCCTCTCTGGCAGCTGGTGTAAGGAGAGTGTGGTTTGACCCCACGTTTACTAAGTTACTGGTCACGTGACTCAGGTTTTCTGATTTCCAGCAGGAGGACAAGAAGCCGGGAGAAGGCAGCACAGGGTGGCACAGCGAGGGACGGGTTGGGGATGGGTGGACAGAAACACCTGCAGAGGGCGCTGCGCCCTCAGGGAGGGGACAGAGCAGGCTCCGGGGGCGGCTCCAAAGCAAAACTTCATTTCCGCACCCTGCCCTAAACGTCTGCCGACCAGCCATGTGAGACCAGCGCCCCACGTGTGCACGTTTTCATTCCTTCTTTCTGTTTCAGGGCTCTACCGTGGCTAGAGAAGCCAGTGACAAAGAAAAGGTAAGTGCCTGGTGTGTCTCACCTCGGTCTGGGGCGAGCTCGCTCAGCGCCTCTGGTGTCCCTTCTTCTTGTCCTCCTCCACCGCCATCCTTCCCGGTCCCCCTCTGCTGCCCCGCAACTGAGGGGACGCCCTCCGCCAGTTCTCCTCCTCAGGCTCGCTGCCCTGTTGAATCACGTAGGAGTCAGCAGTTTGCAGTGCAGGTGCAACACTTCACATCAACGTGGTCTTGAAAACACAGCCACCTCTGCAGTCGTGATGACCCAGACCGGCAGGTGCAGCTCCGCACCTGGGTCCTAACCCCGCTTTAGGACTAACAAGCCGGGTGCGACCTTGAGTCGGTTTCTTTGCCTCTTTGAGCCCTAATTTTCTCACCTGTAAAAATGACGATGTTGAGCTTCAAATGCACCTATAAAATGTTGGCTTAAAGGAGTTTCGAACTCCTGACAAAAAAATGTTAAGACCTGATTCGAGTCTTTTCCGTGTAAAGACTTAGGGACAAGGAGACTTCTTACCTTTTTCTGAGTCACTGGCTAGTAGGTAGTATTTGAACCAGTTTGTTGATTATGCAAGACTATAGGCAGATTCCACTGGAGTCCGTTTAAGAATTTGGGAAGCAGCTTTCTGTATGTAACCCTAAACTGCCCCCACCTGGAATCTGCTCATGTGAAAGGCACCTCTACACTCTCAGCTGTTCCTCCTCGTCACTTTGGGAGGCGCCTTTTCTTGACCAAACCATTTGAGAGCTGGGCTCAAGGTTTCTGTTTTTAAATTCTTTCAGGATGATATCAGTCAGTTTGGGTTTGAATTTTATAGATTTGGAAATCTCCTTTTACTTACTCATCCAGAAGTGTTTGTGAATCTCTCTTTGGTTACTGTCCTCGCTTCAAGGGCTAAAATAATGAACCACATAGACACATCAGCAAAGTGATACAGATGTTAAATAGGAGATGACAGTATCATGTGATAAGCGCCTTGCTAGCGAGCAGGTAGCAAGGGCACCTAAATCTGGCCTGGTGGTCTTCCTGGAAGAGGTGATGTTTACAAACCTGAAGGATAAGCAGGAGACAGCTAGAGAAAGAGGTGAGAAAGAGCTGTGTGTGCAAGAGTGCCGAGGGGGAGCGCCTGGTGCTCTAGTTAGAGGGTGAGATGAGGCCACAGAGGTGAGCAGGACCATTTGGAGAGGCTGTCGAAATAACCCAGAGTAGATGGTGGCCTGACCTGGGGTGCTGGAGGGGATACAGAGAGATTTGGGCAGAAGGATCCACAGAACTCAAAGACTGAATGTGGTGTGTGTGGAGGGAGGGCAGGGTGGGGTGAAGGATGACTCCCAAATTTCCAGCTTGGACAATGACAGAGGGAGCAGAGTGGGTGGAGTAGTTTGAAAGCTCAGCGCATCAGAGTAGAAATGTCCAACAGGCATGAGAGGCTGCAGAGAGGGCTTCAGCCAGGAGAAAAGGGCTTGGGAAACCTCCGGGGAAGGATGATCAGCAGAGCCGGGGAAGCGTGGATGAGGTCACCCAGGCCGGGCGCATCAGTTGGAGAGAAGCGTGCCTGGCGGCGGCCCAGGAGAACATCATCATGGAAGAAGCGGCTAAAGGAATGGAGTCCTGCAAAGGATCAGCCACAGAGATAGGCGACAAGCCAGGAAAGCCTGGCTCATTTGTTCAGATACTGACCGAGCATCTATTAAGAGCAAGCATTTTGCCAGACATGAGAAACGTCTCAGTGCATGGTGCCCTGCTGTTAAGAAACTTGCACTCCAGGGGCATCCCAGAAACCAGAGGAAGAGGACTTTCCCAGAATCAAGAGCCTCTTCCAGGGCAGGTGGGATGAACACTGAGAAGTATCTGTTGGACTCATCAACAGAAAAATCACTGGTGACCTTGTCAGTGACGCAGGTGGAGCAGAAGCCTGGTAGCGGGTTAAGAAGTGAGGCAGAGAAAAGGAAACAGTGGCTCCTCCTTCTGCAGTTGGTATTTTTACTGTGCACCACTGAATATACTTTCACACTTCCAACTGCCACGTGAATCACCCTGAAGGCACCAGATTTGGCCAAGAGCAGCAGAAACGATGGGCTGTCAACTTCCACGTTGCTCTGTAAACATTTCTTCCAGGTGCCAGAGACTCGAGTAGGTATTGTTTTCATCCATGAGAAACTCAGAGGCTTATTATTACTGGGATTTTCTCAGAGGAAGTATCTGGGCTGTTTAAAGAGCCACACAGCAGCATCAAAAGAAGCCACTTCAGCATCATCAAAAGCAGCCAGCCCCAGAGTCAGAGCCATGGGGGTACCATGCGCTTCTCCACGCTGGTGGCTCTGTTCTCCCTTTGTTCCCAAGTCCCTTGAGCCTGCTGCTAGCAGCCTTTTCCCCACTTCTGTTCATTTCAATTTCTTCAAGTTTCATCCCCAAGGGCTCTCAGTCTGCTCTGACAATAACCAATGCCGAGAAAGACAGTTACAGCCAACGGGGTGATTACAGCAGAATCCTAAGTCATGAAACAAGGACATGTGTGGCTGGAAGCCAGTGTTTGGTGTAGCTGTAATATTTCACCATCAGAAGCAGAGCATCATTACTGTCTGTCCCTCCACTGCTCTGCCTGTAGGACCACACACTTTCCAGGAACCCCCTGGCTCTCACCACAGTTCCACTCCTCGCCTCTCCAAGAATATTTAGCCCTATGTTGGTGTAGGTTACTATGAAAAGACATGAAATGACAATATGTCTGGCAGAAGCCCACTTTTCTAAGGATGCTGCTAGGATGCTTCTATTGTATATTGAATATGGGCACATTGTTCCTCAGAACATTTCCCTTGGAGGTGGACTTAGAGAAGTCAGAGATGGGAGGGACCTTAGCAGGTCAGAGTCCAGTTTCCCCACCTCACGTGGGACAGATTCGAGACTCAGAAGCTTCTGTTCCCAAGCTGCATCACACAGTCTGTGGCAGAAGCAAAACCTTACCTTAATCTGGGTTTTTTAAATTATTAATCTTGATGTATTGGGATTGTAGAAAGGTGAGTAATAACTGGCATTTGTTTAATGTCAACTGTATGCAAGATCTGTTCTAAATTTCACACATATTTGGTCACATAACCCTGACAGCCACCTTTGAGGCAGGCGCTATTACTACTTCCATTGGGTAAATGAAGTTACTTGACAGACAGGCCCAAGGACCCACAGTTATGGCATGACACAGCCAGGGGTCCAGCCCACATCTCACATTTCTAACCATGATATGGTACTACCTCCTAAATGTTTGGGACTTCTTTTTTTAAAAAAAATTCATATTAATCCCATGAATCATGAAGATGAACAAGGCAACATTTCACTACAATGTTTCACTGACAAAAACTGTGTTTTTTGGAGTTACATATGAACTAAGGCAGTTCATTGAATCTTGATTTCAAAGTGAAAAAAAACAAAACTGTTCAGCCCCATAAGATGTTGGCAAACCAGTTCACATTTTCTCCATTTGAGGAATTAGGTATTTCTGTAAATACAGTCTGTGTCACTAGTATCTCCCACTGGGTAAACATTAAAATTGTCCACACAGTAGCCCAAAGGAGGAATTCAATGCTATGTACTTTTTTTTCTGGGCTTGGGGTTCCTGATAGCTCTTCTTCCAAAAGGAGCAGCTCCAAAAGACCATCGACCTGCCCTCCTAGATTACAGGTGCTCACTGGGAAGGGTCGCAAGGAAGTAGCTTGAAGATGTGGGAGTGAAAGTAACTAACACTGGTAATTGATGGAGACTGTGCCTGCCTTGACAACAGGACATCATGTGTCTCTGATGTGGCAGTTTGTTTACAGTCTAGCAGCAACCAAGGGTAACATTCACTAAACTGTAACACTTAAAAATAAATGAAATGTATTAATGGAGCTGAACTCTTAAAAACCTTGGGTTTTTAAGTTCTAAAAATTTCTTTTGCGTTTCTTGTTCTGACAATTTTCAGGTTTTCTTTCCATGATCAATTAATATTTTTGACTCTTCCAAAAAGCATGCTGTTCTTCACAAACAAAACCACAAATGTTATCAAAACAATCACTGTTACCTTTGGTTAGAAATATTTGGAGAAGGCTGAAAATACTTATTTTCTACACTTTAGCCTCTTATAAATGAAACCAAATGGTTTGCAAGATTATTCTCTGCTGTCATTGTGCTACCCATATTCTCTCTACAGAGTGATTACAAAATTGCAAAGAACAATCCTTATAGAGAATCTCCATTGATGTGGCTTAATTAGCAATCTGAATTCTTAGTTTCTTTCATTTGAGTCATTATCGCTGTTTTAATGTCCCACACTTTTCACTTGTTGATGACAAATTTTAAAACTGTCATTTCAGATATTTCCTGATATAGGTGCATACAAGTCCCATCCCTCCGATTTGAGCTTGACATGTAATTAGTGGGATTTGCATTAGCATAATAATGAAGATGGAGCTGAAAGAAATAAGTTCTGTTCCAACAATCACGGAATCACTTTCACTGCAGCAAGTATCAGAACATGCGTGTACAGATGTCTTGAATTTTTTTTAAAGAACAGTGTTTTGTTTTGTTTTTTTTAAACCGCTGTCAAGTTCTGACAGCTGCTATGACTTGTTTTCTTTAATTCCTTCCTTTATTAATGGAAGGGCATCTTCCATTCACGGCTCCAGCAGTGTAGCTCCCTCTAAATGAGACAGAAATGCGAATCTCCCTGGTGGTCGATCTTTTCACAGCTGCGCTGCAATTCCAGTGTGACATCAAATTAGTAATTATAGCTGAGCGGACCACTCTTTACAAATGACAGTCTTAGCATGCTGCCAGCAAGCATGCTACTCAGCAGGGAAACCGAGCAAGGAAAAGAAAACGTAACTGGACTCACTTGATTTCTGGAGGATTTGACCTGACTCTTTAAAGAGCCCATGTTCTTGAGAGAGAGAGAGAGAGTCCTGGGGATTTATACAAATAAGCATTTTGTTCATCGTTCCACGCAGTTCTCAAAACTCATGGCTGGTTTC